AATACCAAGTAAGTGCCTTTACTTTTCATGTCTGATTTCTATTGTCTTCCAATGGCACAAAGCTAGTGAAGAGCTGGCAGCTCTTCTGTGCCTGAACTCCAGTCCAAGGGGGCTGGTTCACCCCCAGAAACACGTAAGGCCCAAAGGTCTCCCTGCCCCGCAGCCAACCCCCCAGAGCCCTCACGCTGCCTGCAGGGATGGGGCTCCACCTGCTCCAGCAGCATCACAGCACGTGCTGGAGGTGCCAGCTGCACCGGGATTAGCTTTTTGTGGCCTTCCAGGGAGGCTAGGACAGCCCTTCTCACAGAGTGCCCATGCTCCACATACAGGGACTGGTATGTCCAGCACCATCATCACACCAAGAACAAATCCAATCCTCAGGGATGTTTCTATTCCTGTCCCAGACATCTAGCAGACACGGGATGCCTAGGAGATGACAGCAGACAAGCTTCATACCTACAAGCCAAAGGCTTGAGATGGTGAAAACAACTTTGTATTAGAGCAGCCATAGGAAAAAACATTCAACCTCCTTTCAGCAACAGATTCAGTTCTATTTCTTTAGCTGTAACCATGACACACAGCACAGCAGAAGAAACAAAACAGTAACATATTATTTTGGATATTGCTTTGTAAACAGATGTGTGGCCAGTTATCTAATTGTGGGAATACTAATATGAGTAGGCTTGGAGCAGCAGAGCATTTGCAGGGTTACTTCACTCAGAGCATCTTGCATCATCTCCATCAGGAAATTTCCACGGAGTGCAATGTCAGCAGCTTGTGCTGCAATACACCTGGGAGAATCTGTGAGGTGCCATCTCCCTTGGGTACCACAGGACTGCCCCCTCCCACTCCAGCCACCAACAGACACAACCACGAAGACATTTACAGGAGGTACTTCCTCAGCTAATTGTTAATTATATGAATTGACAAGAGATCTGACTCAGCTGCTATAGAGCCTCATGAAAGCTGGGCCTCCTACTCCCTGCAGCAGGAATGCCTTCTCCATGGGGAAAGGGTGTAGCAACAGCAGTGAGTCACCTTCCAGACACAGCAGGCCACTACTTGGACAGGATTTATGTTAGGACAGCCTACTGACTGCAGTATGATCTGTCTGCCCTGGCAGCTTCATACCAGGCAGTCATTACTGGGAACACTTTGAAAAGCTGCATACAGCTCACTCGGGCACCACAGGGCACAACATGAAAACAAGCAGCAACACTAAAGGGAGGTCTTCCACACAAGTTAACACTGTGTGACGAGATCCAGGGACAGAGGATCACAATCAATACCAGTGAGATCAAAGGGAAGGCTGAAAGAGAAGCCCACAATTAGATGGGTGGCCCAATACAGAATATCCCATGAGTCACACAGTCACTTGCTCCACTACCACCAGTGTCACAGCCACAGATCTGAAACAGAGCACCCCCCAAAGCTGCTGTCTGGCAGGACACATGCCTGGCACAGCAGTGTCTCCCCTCAGGATTTTTCAGTTTGAGAGAGTTTCAGAAGTGCTCCCTGTTCAGAATTCAGGGACAGAGTTCAATGCTATGGCAGTGCAGAAGCGAATGCCTTGATACAACTCTTTCGGGAGTTTTGGACAAGTAGTGAGCTCTGCACAGATGCACCACTGAAGCCCAGTTCTGCAGGCACAGATGTGCACACACATACTATTTCAGTGAGAAGTCAAGAATGCATTGGGCAGCTGAGTACTCACATCCAAACTAAAACCACCCTGCGATTTATTGTCCAAAGGACTCCAGTCTGAACTTTCTCTTTGCTCACTTCTTCAGTGATCTTAAAGTATGAACATGATTTAAAGGAAGTTTTAACAGAGTATGAATTCACATGATCAGTTGAAGCCTTGCCTTACCAGACTACCTTTTCTTCCATCCATTACATTCTAGGATGCCTGTCCGTTGCCTATCCAGGTAGAATGCAGCAGTAGCCCTCCTTATTACCACACTCAGCAGAGAAAAGCAGAAACAGCACTTCTCAAAGCTAGAGATGGTCTCCCCTGAGCAAATGATCCTGCACTTCCTTATCCTGGATATTATCAGAGAATGCTCACAAGAATCTGACTAAGGAGAGAACTGCTTTATGGTTTCATTCAGCAGCCCCTGCCGGAACAAATGAATGCGCCTTAGGCTTTGTTTCCTGCACATCAGATGTCAGGAGTTTCAAAACACTGAAACTATTTGACACTTGCTTTAGATTTTCCATATATAATATAAATCCTCTGTGCATTAGGATCAGAACAGTCCATAGTTCAGGTGTCTGTGTGAGAGCAGTAAAGTGCAAAGAGCACTGCAATGGATTAATAATCGCTTCTGAAGTTGGAAAGCTCTGTCTGACTGTGGTAGGTGTAAGTCAGACTCCATCCTGCCGTGCCCCTATGGCATTGTGTTTGTGCAGCCCTTGGACAGAGAGGGTTGTTGACCTGTTGGTTCCCTGAAGGTGCCAGGGAACAAGATGGAAAACTGAGCAAACCAGAAGGCACAACCAGAAACTGGAGGCAGACCACACTTCGAAAATCCCCCAAAAGCCATTAAGTGTAAGTTTCCCCACATTAAGATGACCCAGCTGTCCCCCTTCCTGCCAGTAAGCACTGCAGGGGACTCTGTGCAGTCCCCCGAGGTGAATGACAGCACTGCTGCCTCTCAAGGCCAGGCACACAACCACAGCCTCAGCACACACAGCAAGGCAACTGCCCTCTGAGGAGCAGGGACAAAGCTGGAATGACACCACTTCAACAGAGTAATTTCCAGTATGTTTGAGAACACTGCATAGATTTTCATGCCCTGGTACCTAGCAGGATACCAGGCAGCAACTCAGATGTGCTTAATAAGCACTCTGCTTAATCAGTACTAGAAAAATCAGACCTCCTAATCAGAGACTCCCGATTACAGAAATTTATTTGCATGTTTTATCAATGCGACTTCACCATACAGACAGCTAAGAAATTTGTTCATAAATCTCACCTGTAAGAGGAAAAAGGAACTTTAATTTTTAGATACTGAACATGCAGAAACTGTGCAGAGAGACTAGAGTTCCCATATGCGCAAGTTCTACTGCAGAACATGCAGAGTTCCCCCTTCAACAGACACTGCTGGACTACTTCCTTCCCAGACTTTTGACTGTAGCTACATGGAAACCCCAACTCTGATGTTCAGTACATAAGAGATGCAGGAAAGCAGCAACCAAAGGATTTGCCCATGGAGTTCAGAGCTGCAGTCAGTGCTTCCGAGCAAGAGAGACTTCCCTGGCAACCTTCCAAGCCTGTTCACTGGACCTCGACGCATTACATAAGGCAAACTCCAAATCAAGGCAGCCATAAGCACCACATTCCAAGGGCAGGGCCAGGTTTGGCAGGAATCAGCTGTGGCACAGATGGACAGGCTTGAAGAACTTCAGTACAAGAAGCCAACTGAAGAGCAGCCATTGACCTTTCAAATAAGAAAGGCAGTTGGTAACCTGAAGCCAACTGCACGGAGAGAACATGCAGAATATATGACCATAGGTGTGCCCATGTCACAGCACAGCACACTCCTAAACCAGCACAGACCAGCTTCCTCCTGAAAACATTCACTCTCCATGAAAACCTCAAAGGACTTGGAAAACCTGGTCATGGGCTTAAGTTACGGCTTCCAGGGACACAGTGCTGGAAGTTACATACAATCCCATAACGATTTAGTTTGGAAGGGACCTTAAAGACCATCCAGTTCCAACCCCTGCCATGGGCAGGGACACCTCCCACAGCCTCTAGGGCCAGGTGTACAGGCTTTCAAGCGTACCAGCTAGTCCTGAGTTTCTTGCAATCCTGCAAACAGGATTAAGCACCAGCCAGCCTTAACACAGTTAAATTGTCAGCTCAGCTTTCAGGAGCACAGACCAAGTGATGCCTGACAGCACCACCAGCTGTGCTTTCCTCCGAGCTTTAAAGTTTCCCACAGTGTTGCACAACCCACTGCACACCAAGTCTGCCTAAAATATGCAAATATTGACACAGAAGTGATTCACAGTCCTGAAGTGTGTCATTGGCTAGACAAGGAGATCTTTAAGACTGAAAGCAGCCAAGTGCCACCCTTGTCCACTCTGTGCTTGCCCCACATGTGGCACCACATCAGCACACAGTGCGCTCAGAGTGAGTGTAAAGAGCGCAGGCAGACCTTGGCTCACTCAGGTATTTTCCTTCTGCTGAGGGGTTAGAAAAGCATGAACAAGACCAAGCAAATGCACTTCTCTTCACAGCAGCAGGAATGACTCTTGTCTTTTGTCACTCTCTGACCAGCAGTTACCAAGAGATGAAGAGAGACAGCAACAAAAACAAAAACGTCCTACTCTGTAATTCTGAAGCATGGCAGCTTAGCCAGGTGAGAACCTAAGGCTTCCAGACATTAAGTAACCTCACCTTTAGTCATCTGCTTAAGAGCACTTGCCAGCTCTGCAGCATCTCTTCTCTATATATTTGCTTTGAGCACAAATCTGTATTTGTTAACCTCCATCTCTGGGTGAAGCTTGCAGGAGCTGTTACCTGTACACAGGTACACACAGCCATGGCTGCAACAGGATCCGGCTGCTCTGGTTTCACAGCCTTTATCAGAGATCACACACAACAACAATAACAACAACGTGATTTTCTCTCCAGGTCCTGGCTTGTACCAGGCAATTTGCTGACTTACCATCTGAACAAGCACTCAGTGTCACAACCCTGAACTAGCTCCTGCTGCAAGAATGCCCAAAACTTCAGTGCTGGAAAAATGTCCAGACAGACTTGCAGCAATTTTCAATTTATCTTTCAGACAGGAATGCCACTTCCCTTTAAATATATTTTGCAGAATTATTCTACAAAAATTGTCAGTGCCCACTCACTCTTCCCTTTAAGTCTGGACACTCCTCAGCACTGTAGGTGGATAGGTGACCACCTTCTACAAAAATGGCTTTTAAAACTTGCTTGAGTGACAGGTCTGAATTTCAGAGAACTCAGCAGACCACCACATTAATTTGCATAATATTAGGTTTTATGTTTCTGTTCTGATCCTCAAACACTCACTCTACCCTGGTTAGCACCTCAGCTTTTCCTTCTTTTCCTTTTTCAGAGGCCAGCTGAGCCCACCTAAGGGGTTCAAGAAACCTGCAGATTCTGAGGGAAGGGGTTTGGCAGAGGGGAAAAGAACATCACAAGGTTAAAACACCTGCACTGCAATCTAAGGTGGTCAATGCAAGCAAGTAAGAGGCTGCAGACCAGGAGGCAGGAAAGCTGGTGCACTGGCACTTGCACAGCTGTGGCAGAGGATGGGGTCTCTGCCTCTCCTAATCTGCTCCCCGAAGCAGCACAACACTGACCTCATTTTCCTTTGGCTTTGTAGCAGCAACCATGGAAAAAGCAACACCCAGTGATGTGCCACTCAGAGCTCCTCCCATCCAGCCCATTCCAGAGCTGGATAACCCTACTTCTCACCTGCACAAGATACCTGCCAGAAGCAACAGGGAAAGGAGAAGAGCTTCCAGGCTCCCCAACACAGGGCCATTAATTCAGTTAGGTTCTTCACATTTCTGAAAGACAGGTACATGAGCAGTCTACACAGCACCTGCTGACAGACTCACAGGACATCCTGTGTTATTCAGAGTCCAGCAGTGGACATGGTATAGTGGTCAGGTTATCTGATGGCACTGATGGCACTGCCAAAAGTCATCACTGGCCTAAGAACAGAGCAACCCAGGCCATCTGATCACAGACTCATCCACAGAATTCTCCCCAGTTAACCCCCTAGGGCACAAATTCGGGAGATAAGGAACTCCACGAAGTCTTATCCTGAAAGAATAAACCACAGCAACTTGCTCATGTATTGAAGGAATTTGATGGGGCTAACTGTTTAGACAAGCCCATGACTAAGGACAGAACTAGTTTCCTTCCAGGAAGCAATCTATTCATAGCCTTTAATGGAAATCCAAATACTTGGGAATTAGCTGTTTTGGTGTATTAAGGGAAACTTCATCTTCCCCTTCCCATAGATGAGGTAGTTTTCTACACACACTGAAAATAGAAAACATGCTAAAATACAGCAAAACTTACAAACTATGCACAGTTTGTAGGTGAGCTTTTAGCTCCTTTCCTAAACAGCATCTGTCTGCCCACTGCAGTAGTAAATGGGTATACTACATCATTTCTCACATCAGTAGTGGAGTAAGAGCCTTAAAATCACAGCTGTAATTCAGGTTCATTTAAAAGCTTTCAGTCTTCACTGAAACCTATTGAACTGCTCTGTTTTCTGCTCCCAGCTATTGATTACTGGGGTGGGTCAGGTGAGGGGGAGTATGAACAACTGCCTTCCAGCCACTTTTGAGTGATGCCACAGCTTGTGACATCACGACTGTCTCCATGGCAGCACAGCAACACAACTGAATTGAAACAGGAGGAGGCCAATTAGAACAAGAAAGCTCCTTTGTAGTTGGAACCATAGTAATTAACAGAAATAAGAGCAGCTGTTATAGAAATGACATTGTTCCAACAATAAAAACCTTGCTTTTAACTTGCCAGGTGAACCCAAGACACCCAAACCACAGCTAAGTACAAAAGTCCTTCCAGACTGGAAACCCCATGATATCATTAGCTGCATTTCCAGCTCTACAGAACGCTGAGCACAGCCTGGATCTGTGAGGTCATTTTTCATCTCCCCTCACATCAAGTTCTCCTCTCCACTGGAGCCTGCCTACACTCTTGGGAGGCTGCTCAGCGCATCACGCTCAAGGAAAGCCCCCTAGCTGAAGTGCTTTCAGCCTTCTACATTTAGCAGACACATCTCTGTGGGGGGCACACAAAAGAAACCAACGCCAGGCCACCAACCCACAGTGACTCACGCCAGCTAAGTCTCTCCCTTCAAGGATGAAGCATACTCAGGGTTTGGAATAGATGATATGAACAAGATCTGGACCCTCTAAGTACATACATTGTTTTGTTTTCAATCTCCAAATCAAGAGACACACAGGAGCAATCTCAGCTATTGTCAGTTAAGTTGTGACAGTGCAGTTGGGGGCACATTAAGCCAAATGTGACTCTGACTGATCTCCATCCTACGGTGCACTTACGGCAGTCCCAGAGATAAGGCAGCTGCTCTATTGCTCCAGAGTGGCCAGGAACAACACACAGCTCATAAAAATTCCCCAGGGAGAGCCCACACTGTTAGGAGTGTACCACAGTCAGGCTCTTAGCCTTAGGCACCTCCACTAGATTCAGCCCAATAAAGACCAGCTACATTCTGTACATTTACCCCATTTTTCTTTTCCCAGGCAAGCCTAAAAGCTGCAGCAGGCCAGGAACAAGCTGAGTGTAAACTTTCCTAGAAAACAAGCTTGAAGGTGTAAGGCACAGCACAAAGTCAGGGCACCTGGAGTGAGGAGACCTGCACCAACACAGAAGCCCAAGCACAGTGACACAGCATGTGCTTTGGCTGGAGATGAAACCTTCATGGGTAACGCTGCTTCCCACAGCTCCTGTGAGCAGACCTACTGTGCTCTTCTCCTGCAATTCCATGGCAAAGTGAGGCCTTCACTGCTGGCAGGGGAGAGAGAGCACATAGGTCCCTAGTACTGGCACACTCATGGCATGTGGAGGCTGGGTAGCAATCTGGTTAACAGCTGCTTTGTGATAAGAGGCACAGCTGGCTAAAACTGAGTCACCTTAAAAAAAATACTGAAAAGCATCACACCATAAGAATTAGGATAAAAGATTTAACTGGTATCTTCACAACTGCAGCGGAAGCAGTTCTCAGTCATAATTCAGTCAAGTGAGTCTTTGTACAGAACACTTCCAGTCCCTATATCTCAGTCAAGTGCAGTTATTTCACACACAGAGGCAGAACTTGAGGTAAGGCATTAACAGTGACTGGGGTTCCTGCTGGGATTCACCCTGCCATTAAAAACAAGGCATCCTCTGGCACACATCTGAGAAATGGGACAATGGGACTTCCTCAAGCCTCTGTCACTCGTGAACACAGCTGGTTCAAACAGCAGACATACCTTCCTGCACACAGCTTCTGCCAGGCAGCACCTGACTGGTTCCAGCTTTCACAAGCTGGAGCTCAACTGCAGGTCAAAAGGCTGTAGGTCACTTTTTAGTTCATTCTGGCCTCAGTGCTCCTGGTTTACCAGCTCGTTCACCCAGAACTGCAGTCACATGCACCTGCTGCCTGAACACACCATCACCCACAACCAGGGGATGTTTGTTAACAGAGCAAGAAACTAGAACAGAGCAGAAAACATGATTTACTGTATGAACCAGGCCTTACTGCAGTAGAAAAAGCCATTAGCTACAGAAAGGAAAGAAACCAGGCAGAGGCAGAAATAACCAGCTTTCTGAAGTTATTTTTAGAGCTGCCTCCACCAACACTAAAGATATTCAGAGCTGTTGAAAAAAAGTAAATCAAAGGTAAGCACACAAATAGTGCCAGAAGAAAGCAGACAGTGCTTCAAAGTTACTGTTGCCACCAGTGCAGCAGCTGCAATTGCTGGCCCAGTTCTGTCCTTTGATTTGGGACAGCATCATTATCCTGGGCTCTGCTTTGCTCTGTCAATGAGCTCAGGGGAGCTGTGCCACATGCGTGCTAGAATGCAGCAGGACAGTGTCACCCAGGCAGTCACTGCTGTGGGACAGGCTGAGCACAGCCTGGACAGAGGAAAGGACAGGCAGCACTTCCATTCCCTTTGTACAAGGGGCTGTTATCACAGAATCAGCTAGGTTGAAAAGGCCTCTGAGATCGAGTCCAACCTATGACCGAATACCACCCTGTCAACCAAATCATGGCAGTCCAGTCTTTCCTTTAACACTTCCAGAGACGGTGACTGCGCCACCTCCCTGGGCAGGCAATCCCAATGTCTAATCACCCTTTCTGTGAAGAAATTCCTCCTGATGTCCTCCCCTGGCACACCTTGAGGCCGTTTCCTCTCATCCTGTCCCTTGTTCCCTGGGAGCAGAGCCCGACCCCCCTCTCTCCTGTCAGGGAGTTGTACAGAGCGAGAAGGTCCCTCCTGAGCCTCCTTTTTCCAGGCTGAGCCCCCCAGCTCCCTCAGCCGCTCCTCATCAGATCTGAGCTCCAGCCCCTCCCCCAGCTCCGTTCCCTTCCCTGGACGGCCGGGATGACAGGCTGGGCACTGTCCCCGCACACTGACAGAGCACAGGGCGCTCTCTCCGAGCAGGAGCCGGAGCTCTCCCAGCACAGCTCGGCCGGGCGCGGGGCCCCGCTCCCGCAGCGCCCCGGGGGCGGCCCGGCCCGCGCTCTCCTCGCCCTACGGCCCTCCCTGCTGCAAAGCGCGGCGGCCGCAAAGCGCGGCCGGGCCGAGCCGGGCCGGGCCGGGGCCGCCGCCCTCCTCCGGGGAGCCCCGAGGGACCCCGGCCGGGACAGCGGCACCGCGAGAGCCCCGAGGGATCCCGCGAGCAGGGCAGTCCCTGTCCTGTTTGTGCGGCTCTGGGAAATCCACTACACACAAGCACTGGGCATCTCCCAGCTCCAGCCCACGGTTCCCGGGGTCCGACAGAATCATTAAGGCTGGAAAAGACCTCCGAGATCATCCAGTTCAACCCGTGACTGAACACCATCTTGTCAACTAAACCAGCACACTGAGTGCAACTTCCAGTCTTTGCTTAAACACCTCCAGGGGTGGTGACTCCACCACCTCCCTGGACAGCCCGTTTCAATGTCTAGTCCCCCTTCCCGTGAAAAAATTCCTCCTAATGTCCAACCTAAACTGCTGCTGGCAGAGCTTAACTATATCCTCTTGTCCTGTTGCTCGTTTCCTGGGAGAGAAGGCCACTCCTTGGCCCCTGCCCCACTGCCCTGAGGAGGCCACTCGAGATGCTCTGCCTCCCTTTTATCTCCTAACCCTGTAGATTTCTTCAGTCCTGATGTCAACTTTGTCCCACAGAAGCACTGCAAACAGGAATTGAAGCACCACACAGATGAACAGCCAGAAACCAGGGATCCCTCCCAGCTGGTGCCTGCACAGGGACCCAATGGGTCAGATGGAACATGGGACTATCAGACCAGAGTGTTCACCGAACCCACACAGCTGTGCACGGCTGACAGGGAACAGCATTCATAGCAGCAGCCACAGGCAAGGTGACTACTGACATCTCCACCCAAGCCTTCTGTTTCCCTTCCCCAAAGCTCCGATTCCCCCCAGTCAGCCTGAGTTAGTGTTTGACTTGAGCAAGAACAAGTCCTGTGAGAGAGCAGGGCTCTAAGGGCTGCTCTGGCAGCCTCCCCTTAGCAACCCAGGGCACTCTGCAGCACTCATCTCCAGCGAGGACCTTAACAGAGCAGCGATAAAAGCTAATGTGTGGGGTAACAGTGCTGTTAGCAACAGTGCCTCTGGAATGGCTGACAAGATTGCAGGGTGACAGCGAGACGCAGACATGGAGCCTGGTGCCAAGCGCAAAGGCCAACAGCAACAGGCTGCTGGTGAACAGAGCTCTGCTTCCCAGCATCCAGGATTCCCCGCTCAAGGCCTGGCTCTTGGCATGCTGCAAACTTGAGGGCCACTGAAACTAAATACTTTGGAAATAAAGTAGCTACTTTGTCCAGGACCAGAGCTAAAGAAGTGCAAGCACTGTCCAACACCAAGGGAGCAGCTTTTCAGGCACTGGGAAGAGTTCTCCAGCTCTGTTCGACCAGTACTCATCTCCTCAAATCTACCTGGAAAGTTCCAGTCCACACTGTACAAGCTGGGCATTACAGCAGCCCTGCACTGCCAGGGAGCTTGCTTTGCTCAGAGCAGCAGCGCTAAGAGGCCAGAATTCCCAGCCCAGGGCCCACTGCTGGAGTGGCAGGTCAAACAAGACAGCACTGGCAGCTGTTCAATAGAGCACACCAAAATCTGGGAGAGTTCCTGGACAGAAATGTTGTGACTTGGGACCCCGTGTTTGGGCCAAGCTAAGAAATTGAAAAGCCTCAGGGTTCAAACAAGGAAAAGGAGGCTTCCCAACAAAACAGCTACTCAAGCGACCTCACAGCTCTGCAATAATGTGCTGGCTCCCGAGCTGTCCCCACACACGCTGTTCTCCACAGAAGCAGC